GTGGGATGTTAACTTGAGTTCTGATATTTGTAAATCAACTCAAATGTGTGACAAGAAAAAATCTCTGAGTTTCAGAAAACGTTTTTCTTTAAGGCAATACCTTACAAAAAAGATTTACCTGACTGACAACCAAAACCCATATTCTGGCAGTAAGTCCTCTCTTCCTTACAACTCGGTCAGAAATGAATCCACCAAACACAACACCGAAACTCCCTCCAACCAATGGTATCCATGACAACCAACGCCCAATATCCTCATTAGGAAAATAGAGGTTAAAGTAGTTTTGGGCATTGTAGGCCCACACATAGCCACCTGGGGAAGAATAAAAAAGTCTGTTGTTTCCTTAAAATACAGCCACAAGCAATCTGTGAAACAATCTTTTTTCAAACCCCACACTCCTCTACGATGAGGTACACAACTCCAGTCAAGAAACACTGCAATGCAGCAGGTCTGACATGTATGAAGGCCTCCAAAAATATAATCAAATATATCAATTAAGTGGTTTGTGTACAATTCCAGGATAGGAATTGTGCACCCCTGCTCTAATAACTCTCTCTACCATGCCCAGCCACCTCTTACCTCATTGTTATTTTCATTCTTTCTGTGTGTTTTCTCCCACCAGTATTCATTCACTTCTTCCAATCCAATCTCTCCTCTTGCAACCAATGCAATCTCTCCACTGGCAACCTCTGTCTCAGCTTATCTTGAGTTTAAAGGTTTAGCAAAATGGTGACATTTGTTGTAATAAAGATAAAATAAAATCAGAAACTGCAATATACCCGCATTCCTGACAGAGCCGGCCAGGCAGAGGAGCAGCAGAGAAAGGCTGCAGAATGGCTGCAGTATAGGGGTCAGTTGCTGATACAAGGATAAACTGCTTCCATCTCGTACTCCCTGCTTATGCGGAGGCTCTTTCACTGATATGAACACCAGCAGGCTCAGTACAAACCCTGGGAACCCACAAACCAAGAAGGCAAAGCGCCAGCCCTAGAACAGAAGAAGTGCAATGTCAGTATATCTTGGAAAATGGTAAATCTAATCAGGAACACCACAGGCAAGAAAATCTGCAGAAGCTTTTCTTTTAATATTTTCCACTCTCAAGCATCATGGCAACACCTATATCACCAGCAGCTACAACGCCCTGCAACTCACAACTGGCAACTCACTGAAGCTAAGGTCAGTGCTTAGATGGGAGACCTCCTGGAAAAACTAAGATTGCTGCTGGGAGAGGTGTCAGCAGGACCAGTAGGGGGCTCTCACCCTGCGGTCTGTGTGGGTCCTAATGTCCCTGTCACTATAATGGGGCACTATACTGTACAAAGGTGCCATCGTTTGGCTGAGATGTAAAACCAAGGTCCTGACTCTCTGTGGTAATTAAAAAGTGTAGGGGTGTCACCGTGGTGTCCTGGCCAAATTTCCCATTGGCCTTTACCAGTCATGGCCTCTAATGATCCCTATCTACAGTATGAAATGGCTTCATACCTTTGTTCTCCTCCCCACTGATAGCCGACGTGTGGCAAGTGGACTAGCGCACTATGGCTGCCGTCACATCATTAAGGTGGGGCTGCACATTGGTGGTGGAGAGGAGTCCCCATTACCTGTAAAGCGCTTTGAGTGGAGTGTGGAGTAATAATTGGAGTGGAGTAATAATTCCGGACACCAGAAAAGGGTATCAGGAATTATTACTTATCCCTGTCACAAAAAGATTCAAAATGAAAACCCCTTTAAAGATAGAAACCATTAAATGATTTTCTTAGTTTTTGACAGAATACTCAAAAGATTCAAAAGATGAGCTTTTCAATTTTTTTAGATACAGTATGTATGTGTAGTGCATGCAATGGGTCTCTGGTCAGACAGAATTTAGTTGATTGAACAGACATACAGTACAGCACATACAATATTAAAGAAGAGAAACATACAAATTTAAATGAGAAGACAAGAAAAACACAATCACATGCAAATGTAAACATTAACCTTACATTTGGCAAACAGAATTGTAAAATAGATGCTCACAGGAGGATAAAGTCTGAAGGGGAAGAGCTCAGTTTGTATAACAGAGAGAAAGAAACGAAGGATAAAGCAGATGGTTATTGAAAGGGGCGATTTAAAGACATTGACAAGTTACTGATAAATGAAGAACATTAGTAACAGAACAGGAGAGAATCTACATCAGAATGACAATCATATCCCATAACATTATTTGGGAAGATCAGAATCTTACCAGTCCCAGAATGTCGGCTCTAGTGATGTAGTTTCCAACTGCGAATGCAAGGCTGTATCCAATGTAGATCCCCCAGTTATAAAAACCCATTGCTGAACCCCTTGCAGACTCAGGGAAATAATCTGTGATCAAGCTGGTAGCAAAAGGGGTGCAGCCAGCTTCCCTAAACACAGAGCATCCCAAAAGGCAAATATACCATGTAAACAACTTCATGAAAAACATAAATGATTAAAATGAAGCCTAAAGCCTGATATTAATTTTTAAGATGTGCACTCTTAAACCACATGGGAATAAAACACCAAAAACCTGAGCAAACCAATAATTTGAGTTAATTCCAATTTCCTAATAGTGGCGTTTTAGTGTTTCTATATTTTTAAAACATTTTTCAATGTCTTTTATCATAATGTAATATTTCACACCTTGTATCTTTAAAAATAAGGGCAATTTCTTTTTACTACTATTAATTTCTAACATTGTAGCATTTGTTTTTGAGTTGCAGCTGGCAGGCTTTATAGTGCTTGAAGCAACAGCAACTGCATCTCATTGACAAAATATTTTTCTGTCTTTTCAAATGGGTATAAACAAATGATCTGACTTAACACCTGATTTGTAAGTGAGAAGTGAGGGCTAATGTAGGAATAAAATAAAGCTGTTTTGGGAAGCTGTTTACCATGAAATCTGTACTAGTAAGAGTGATGGTGAGAGTTTTTTTATGTTTTATGTCTGCATAAACAACGGACATTACCCCCAAGGACAAGATGAACAGAGGGTTTTCATTATGCAAGGGGTAGGTTAGCAGATTCCTACAGGCATTGAAATGTCAGTGTGTTATTTTACCCTGCATTTCCATCAGACTAACCTTAACTATATGAATGTTGACAAAACATAATTACCCAATTCCCTGTCCAAATCGTAAAACCAAGAGATGCCAATATTCTGTGACAAACCCCATCAGGAAAGTCATGAGACTCCAGAACAGCAGACTTAAAGCCAAGAGATTCTTTCGATTGGCAGAATCAGCTAAGAATCCAATAAAAAACCCTGTGTGAATGAGAAACATAATGTCATTTGAATGGTGCCTGCAATACATATTCTGTTCATTAGGAAGCAAAGTTTACCAAATACTTCAAACTGAATGTTATACAAAAACTAACATTGCTACACTATCCTACTTTCCATCCTGCTACAGTATGTGCTTAATGGACCCTGTATAACTATTACAAATCCTTCCTAAATTGTAACTTACATTTTCTGTCTTAGAGCATTATTTGAAAACAAATAACCCCTAACCGAAATAAGGAGCATAAGTATTTTGAATAAAATTGTGCGCACTTTATGTAAAATCAAGTCAATCAACAAATTAAACCAAACAAACAATATAATTACAATGCATGTCTTTCAAATACCAAGAGATGGTATCTAAAACAATAGTGGCTCCATGTAAAATACATGGGTTAATGTCCCTTTAACTTCAAAAGGATTACTTACAAACCCCCTCTAAGCCTTTTCCCAAAAGAAAAATAAAGAATTGGTTGAAGCTCTGTCATGAAGACACTGCTAATCTAGTTCAGTGCTCTTAATCTGCTTTGAAAATGTGTACATTCATATTTGGTGCAATTCATTTCAAACATAATGAGCATCAACTATCTTATAAATCTATTTTTACATTAGTAAATACATTTACATTTATACTTGGGATAACACCATGAAAAAAGAAATACAAAACTATCAAATTATAAAAAGTTTCTTTCTGCCAAAAGTGAAATTTTGTTTAAGTAAAGTGAAGATAATTTTTTCACAGTTAGAAAGCTTGGCTTCAGTCTTGCACAGATAAGAAGTGAACTAGATTAGTGCTCAATTCAGCATTCAGTGAAAACTGGCAATGCTGAAATGATAGGCAAATGTGAATGTTTGATTAAACCTATTAATATGAGACCACAGAAAAACGAACTTTAAGATCAAAGCAGGTAGTGAGAGAGATACTCAAGGTCTGTGTTCTTTGCTCAAAAAGCTTTTGAGACAGCTTCTTCTGCAAAACTATCACGTTTTACCACCTACTGATTTGGCTATTTATAAACTAAAAAAAACAACATTAAATTTCCTATGTGCTTTGTGGCATACACACACTGAAAAGTTGGTAAAGGAATAGGGTGTTCAACCCAGAGGCTTATACTAACCCATAAATGTATAGATGAGGATAAAAATAGGCCCAGCCATAATCTGGTATTCCCATCCATTGCCATTGTAGCCCCACTTACAATATGGAGTCCTATTTGAGTTCAACAAGGAGCCACATCTGAGAAAATGGAGAAAAACAGGAAATCAAGAAATAGGACAACAAGCGTCTTGCATCTGGTAAATAGTATGTCCTTTCGACATGCAGATGTAAGTGAGAAATCTTACTTCTTCTCAGTGCTGGCATTGTTGCATGACTCCGGTCCAGGCAGCACAGTTTGGTTGGGCAAACAGCTCTTGTCCCCAAAACGAATCTCCTGTGTCAAAGGTAGGATGACTACGGCCAGAATGTAGCGATCTAGCTGATTCAGCAAATATGTAGCCAACAACAAACATAACACATAGACAGGATATCCTCCGATTTTGCAGAAATCCAGCATGGCCAAAGCATGAGATACACTGAGGCAATCCCTTTAATAACAAACATACATTAAAGATGTGGCATTAAAAGAACTGATTCAGTTCTAGCATGTCGAACAAAGTTCATGATACGATTGTTTTAAAAAAAAGTTTTACATTTTTACATCATCACGTGGTAGAAAATAATTCTAATTTTAAATCAAAATGCATCATTAACGTCACTGGAATCATTGAATAAAATATATAAGGTCCACACATGAAAAATAACCGGTTACTTTAGCAATATATAAATTAATAGTTTTTGTTTAAATTGAGTACATAACAATATTTTATGATATTTAGATTATTTTACACACACCCAATACGGTGTGCATCCGATTTCTGTAAAGTAATACATTCTACACTCTGTATAACTGCGCAAATTCATTTTAAAACTAAAATTATGTAATCCCTTAACCGACGTCAAAACAACAATCTCAAAAGTAATCAGGTATGACTATCTTATTTTCTAATTTGATTTAACTAAAAAAACTAAGCAATACCTATAACACAGCCCATCTTATAGGAACACAAGTGAAAGTAAAACTAATCCAAATTACAATCGTAGTTTTTCGTCCCATTGTCAAAGTACTATATTTAGCAAAATAAGGCCATACTTGACTTGACTGCGGTACGAATAAACATGTTAACTGAAACGTTTAGATAAAATATTCTAATCGTTCTACCACCTACTGATTTGGCTATTTACAAACACCTATATACCAAAACGTACGATGCCGCAGTCATCCCCTTAAACATCAGTACTTAAATACCTTTTACCTTTAAATTATAGACATGCATAAAAGCTAGAACATTCAAGTGTTTCATGGACATTACTTACAAAGACAAATAAAATAACTTTATGTACCTAAACATATATACACCATCACCTAAACACGTTTGCTTTCTTTCCAGCCTTTTACAAAGTCGCAGTACTTCCTGGAAGATGTGCGCAAAATCCACAACACAATCTGTACGATGATTGGTCGATAGGCGTGTAATATGCAAATGCAAAGTAACTCAGTGTTACGAAAGAAGTAATATAAAATGCTGTTTTATTTAATAAGAAATAAATGATAAATTCACATTTATAAGAGTAAAGTGAGAAATCTATTTTCAAACAACTGTGGATAGTATATATGAAAACATAAAATTATCAAGACAGTGAGAAACCACTCTCCCTAGACGGGAAGAATACATCATTTCTAACCTATATATAGAAGCTTGTGAAAGTAGAAGTACCGTGTTGTATGAAAGGAGAGAAGGTTAGCACTCCCCTTGACAAGGATGGAAGAGGTCCTAGTGGCCTACAACACACATACGGTTAAGGCACTGCCACCTACTTCGTGGCATCTCTAACCAAGTTTTTGTTTATCATAAACAGTATTAGTCATTTTGACATAAAAAATAACGCATGGATTATATTTTCACTAGACATTTTTTTAGATTTAACCACCAAAAGAAAGAGATTTCTACTGTATATGTAAGACATTTTTACTGTGCACTGTACATAAAAAGATGGACATTGGGGTTGAACGTACTATAAAACACCATGCCACTTTTGCTCTGGAAAATAAACTGCATTTAAAAAATGTCAATACAAACTCCAATCATTTGCAATATACCTTCTATACTTCTTCATCCCACAATGTGAAAGTAGGACAATGAATTTATACAGTTACAGATTCGATACAAACATACATTTTTTAAAATTTCACATTCACAACCAAATTATTTAAAGACATAATTTTTCCTTGACAAATTAGACAAACCCTCACTATCTGTTCAGGGACATGGAAACAGAAAGCTAATTAATATTTTTACACTGGGCTACCAAATCAGAATAGTAGCCCATTCCTGTAATTTTAGAATGAATTATGTCCTTGTTTAGTTACAGTATGTGATTATTATGTAAATATACAGTATGCAGTTTTCATTCTCATGTATGGATTATACTTGGCCATTTCAATTTTTTACTTTTTTTATTGTGATCCAAAAATATTAACTTCTTTTGTTTCTCATTATAATTAGCATAATTATGCTAATTATAATTCGCATCAGCTGTTGCACAAATAGTTACTTCTAAAAAAAGCATTTGAGCGGCATACCAACTATTGGTGAATTTTTCTGGTGTCTTTTGCATCTCAATAAAATATGGCATTTTGAATCTTCGTTGAATGTTTGTTCTTTTAAAGTAATCTGTCCATGTCATATGGAAGGAATTAATTTATTAAAGTTCTTTTCAAAGGTTTTTAAGATAATTTAAAATGTAGTATAATTATTGTCTGGCGTATTTGTATATTACTGTTGCTTTTTACAGATTCAATAACTTTGCAGCAAATCTAAGCAATTTGACTTGCTTACTGAGAATGACGTGTAAGTCACAATACAACCACCAGAGAGCAGTCATGCTCCATTGAACCAACACACCATCTGCTCTATATAAATGAGGCAGATTTCTACTCTGGTCTTTTTCCTATCCTAACAATTCCTTGGCAAAGGGCACAGTGTGAAAGCTTTAAAAGCAGTGCTGTATGCAAAGAAGAAAAGAGGGTTCATTAAAAGTATTTTCTGGGCAACTGGTATGCTATAAAAGTACTTTGTTTTCTTTGTTAATTCAACCATTTCTTCACAACACCTGTCTATCTCTGCATTTAGAGGTTACAATATATTTTGAAAACATTTGAACAAATAATAATACATTTCCTTCACTGTCCTCCTTTTAAATATGCACTAGTGTAAGAATTTAGCTCTAAAATTACAGGAAGAACCAAAAGAAAAAAAGAAAAACAATTCAACACCCTCTGTTCTTTGGTGTATAAACTTGCTACAGTTACAGTGTTTCTGAGAAATAACACTGGAGCCATTATTTGTCTTCATATCCTCTAACTACTGTACATTTCATCTTTCTGGCACAGACATCCAAATCACCAGCTGATTGCAAAAGCAGATAGAGGGAATTCTCATGGAAAAATACACCGGATCCCATCACTGCCATAAAGCCAGGGACATGTCAAAATATCAAAGCTTTTGTATAGTATGTGCCTGCTTCCAAAATAACCCATCAGTGCCTATTGAATATCAGATGGACCTTATACAACACTACAGCTCTGATTTAAACAAAGTCGCATGTTTAAGACCATTTCAAACATTCATTACAGTACACAAACGTTCTGTTTTACCCCCCAACACCACAGAGATACATACTGTACCTTCTTTAAGTACTGAGCATTGTGAAGAACCATATAGATACAAATATGAAGGTCATATATATATATATTTATGCCTTAATATGCAAACAATAAAACATTAAAGTCTGTAATTGTATAAACTTGTATTGACACTGCATAAATGAGATTACCCCCACATACTTCAATAAGAACAATTGGATTGCATTGTATCTATAACTGGTTTGCTACAAAATGTAGCTATGGTCTGTTTACTGAAGCTGGTGAATATAAGATATGAACATGAATATTAAAATGGAGAACATTGTTAAAATTATATGGTTTTATTGTGAGATGAACAGATCACACATCTGCAGACATGATCTTTGTGATGAAAGGATGCCACTGCTGTGTGACACTCTTACCTCATTACTAAACACCAGTAATAAGGTTTGAATATATGCTACAATAAATCTACAGAATGGCATCTTTCTGAGTACTGTTTCAGAATTTAATTGATACAGCAAGGAAACAGAGTTTTTTTAAAGAGATTTTTAGTAATGTTTAATTTGCCATTATGTGCAGTATTATATATAGTAATTTGTAATTGATTGTTCATTTACAGAAATGTATACCAGTTTACTACTACGCACTTGGTACTACATAGACTGGGCTGCCCAGTGGTGAAGGGCAACTCAAAGGTTCCCAACTCAAGTACCAGCTGCATCACTGACTAAATGTGGGCTATCCTGCTCAAGCTCAAACTTCATGATGAGATCCTTTTGTAAATGATTCTGTAATAACATGTGTTGTACTGTTTAAAATGAGTCAACTGCGAATGAGATAATGGAGCTAATGGTGCACGATGAGGTGAGTGCAACACTGCTACAATTGGAGAAGGCCCATCTCATTGAGGCCTGTCAGTATTTAAAAGGCTCAGAACAAGGTGATGGGGACTTTGCCTAAAAATAAAAACGTACTCTAGTTAGGATGGCTAAGGAAATCCATTGGAAGAGATGAAGGGTAGTCAGGAGGATTGTGATATCTGTGACTGTATTAAAGACATCCTGTCCTTCATTGGAGAAATAAGGCAAAGTGCCTCAAATTTAAAATAATCTCAGGATGAACTACCATTATGGATAATCTGAAAGAGAAATAGCTCCAACTCCAGCAGTCACAAGAAGAAGCCTGTAAGGATTTAGAAGATAACATCAAGGTCCTAAGTGAAAAGAGATCAAACCCCAATAGTGAGAGAAAGGGAGAGGAAATACAGTAAATCTTCCAACTGTAGTGCCTGAAGCAACCCTCTTAAGAGAATTCGGAATCTGTGGACAGATTGGGGAAGGAGCACAAAAGAAAAAACTGTCTATACAAGTCTGGGTCACCAGATTGATGCAGGACTTTGGTAGGGACATTCAGAACCTGAAATTATTGAGGGAGTAATTTAAGCAGTCAGTCCTGGACTTCATCTAAGAGATATGTTAAGAACCATTCTCAAGGCATGCTACTGGGAAGACAGTTCATCAGATTTATACTACAAGCTGATGAATATCTCTCAAGATTCTAAAGAGTCAGCACAGAGCTTTATAACCAGAGTGATTGAGCTAAAATAAAAACTGTTATGGAAGTTAACTGACAAAGATGTGGCTGAACATTAAAGAAAAGATTTTATTCAGTGAAAATTTCTCCATTCAATTGAAACTGATTTTTTAATGAAGCTATAAAGTTTCAGATGAAGACTTACTTGAATAACATTGCACTCACAGACAAAGTGCTGATTGAAAAAGTGAATGAGGCCGCAAATCCCAAAGGAGAGAGACAACAAAAATGTAAGAAAGTGATTTCTGGGAGCTCCTCCAACCAAAGTAGGCCTCCCCTGTAAATTCAGAGAGAATCAAAGTGCATTGCTATGAGCTTACCCAAGTCACCTATAAGCTGATTGAGGATCTCAGACCAGGAGTTGAAGAAATCCAAAAAGTATTCCTTGAATCCAACAATCAACCTTGAAAGAGGGAACTGGAAATCCAGGCATACGTAGGTTTGAAGAGTTGTAAACGTCGCCAGGAGACGAAAGCAGGAGAGACATATAACCATTGTTATTGTTGTGAACAGTTTGGACACCTTTCTCAGGAATGCTGGATGAGAAGGCAAACAGTGGTGAACAGGGGATGGATTTCTGTCAAGATGGAACCCCAAGTAGCCCCAAACGATAACCCTAACATAGCTACACCAAAGCCTTTCAGAGAGGAGCAATAAATGGCAACTCAGTCCCCTTTGTCATCTGAACCAAAATATTGTCTTCTTACCTAATTGCAAGAACTGTGTTCTCCAACACTACCTCTGTGAATTACTTACCACAATGGTGTCAAGCTAAATTATTAAATCTAATTGGAAGGCGGTGCCTTATTTGTTGCCAACTTGACCATGCAAGTCCTGTAGGATACTGGGACCCAGGCCAGCATAGTAAATGAGACTAGAAATTCCCTTCCTTGGCTGGATTGAAGTAAAGTTTCAATTTGGCAGTGATTCATCTCTGGGAAGAGACATTGATAGCTCCAATTTTACTATAATTGGCCAAAATGTTGCTGAGGATCCAGTTATGGGCTTTAATGTAATAGAGGAAATAGTGAATGCAGGGAATGTGACAACAGGCACAAAGTCAGATGTTCAGATGGTAAGCTCTGCCTTCTTAGTAACAGCAAAGACAACAGAATCTCTGTTAAAGCTCTAACAGCCC